AGATAAGATTAATGATTTTAAGTTCGATGATTTGTGAATAAAAATAACCTTGATAAATTATAATTAAATTAGGTTTGACATCTTTTAAAAAAGTAAAAAAATTATTATCTTATTTAAGTCATATCATCTTATTAAGTCACATCACCTCTCAATCACATCACTTCAAATTCAACCTATATTTCATAAAAAAAATAAAAAAATATATTTATTCAGATCATTCCAAATCATCCCTTAGTTTGTTGGGAACAAAGTGACGTAAAACCTGTCGACTGACATATAATGGCCCCGTTTGGTGTAGCTGTTAAAACAGATTACAAATTATAATTTAACAGATTATAGATTATGACTTTAATCAGAAACTGTTAATCTGTTTGGTATAGCTGTTGGATTATTGATTTAAGTTGATGAGTAGTGTTTGTTAAATAAGCTGTGGAGTTGTTTTTTCAATTAATTTTTATTTTTTATTATTCACTACTTATCTACATTTCTCATAAAAAGTAATAATAATATTCTATAGTCCATTTGAGTCTTTTTTTATTTTAAAAAAATAAAAAATAAAAAAATCTAAGAGTATAATTATACATTAATATGTCCACAGCAGAAGTTGATAATCAGAAGTAAGGGGTGAGTAGTTTCTCAGAATCAGCTTTTTTGACTTAAAATAAGTTGTTAGAATCACAAGTTATTTGAAAGAAATTTAACCAAACAGTTCAAAATAGTTTTTCGAAAGTCAAGCTATAAATTGGCTAAAAAAAACCCAAACAAACACCCTCAATTTTTTCCTAATTTTATGCTAGTACAAATTTACGATTCTGTCCCTAGAAAGACGATACGGGTTGTGGGGCCACAAAGGATGTGTAGTCAACCAATTATGATTTGCATGAAATTATTTGTTTTTTTGTTATGATTGTTTTTTCTACCATATCATTCTCAAAAGAAAAATATTTGGTTGTTTGAATTTGTGTAATTTAAATGGTTTGAATATATTAAAATGATGTTATTTTACATTTAAAATGATATTTTGAATGTTTCGAATCATTCGAGTCATGAATTTTCTGATCACCTATTATTGTTGTTCTCAAAATAAATAAATCCAGGCCATCATGAGTACGTTTGCAATTTTTTATTTTTTAAATGTCAAATTGTGAGATTCACTCATTTAAAGTGTTGTTTGGGAAGATGGTTTGGGTGGGTTTAGGGTTAAAATAATCATAAAAAATAAAATAGATTTTTTAATCTAATAAGACAAAATATCACATCTAACCTATAATTATTACATTATTTCTCTTATAAAAGGTTAAGAAGCTAAAAGTCTTTCTCAAATTAAGTTTTTTAATCTCAAATTAAAATAACTAAAAAAGTCAAAAAATTAAAAAGCCAACTCACTTCCGAAAAGAAGGCTAAGTTAAGGAATTTATGATATCTAACCCACTAGTACATTTATAAGTTTGCTTTCGTTTGACGTGAGACTTTTTTCTAAGTTAAAAATTAATTGATCTATAAAAAATAAAATAAATTTAAAATTGATAAGATAAAAAGTTATATTTAAATTATAATTATTTTATTTTTTCCTTATAAAAATTAAAAAAAAGAACTAAAATGCCTAACCTAAATGAACTTTTTAGCCTCACATATGTTTGGTGTAGGCTACGTTGACTATTTTAGCTACAAAAAGATAAAATAAGTTACAAAGTTAATAAAATAAAATGTCACATCTAAACTATAATCATTTTATTTTTTTCTCTCAGAAAAATTAAAAAAGTTAAAAAGTCCATTCCAAATAAGACTTTTTAGAAAAAAGCCAAAAAAGTAAAAAAAACCAACCCAAATTCTAAATGAAGGTTAGGGCCTCGTCTGGGGATTAAGTCATTAGAAGTTATCACATCACTCTATTTATTTTCTGTATATTTTTTTATAAAAAATTTAAAAGTAATTAAAATAACTTGTTCTAAACAAGACCTAAAATAGCTAAAAAATTAAAAAGCCACCCCACTTCCTAAACAAAGCCTTTATATTATATTTTGTAAATTGAAGAAAGGATCATTTAAACAAGTGACTATTAAACTCTAGATTATTAGGATGGATAAAAAATCAAAGATGTTTAGTGAAAAGTCTTAAGGCCGTTTGTCATTATCTAGAGTTTATTAAATATAAACTACTTAATAAAGTCATTATTTATTAAATGATACGAAGTTTAATAAATATAAACGAAGTTTAATAATGACTTTATCAATAAATAATAGTTTAATAAAAAATACGAAATTTATATTTATTCTCTTACTTTTGTCATTGTTTATCTTATATATAATAGTTAGTGATTGATTTTTTGTATAATATAAAGTCATTAATTATTAAAATAAAATGTAAAAAATTCAGTTTATAGTAATTTAAAAATATGAAATATATTGGATCATACTTAAAAATTTATAAAAATTGATCAATATTTATTTTAAACCCAATAAATATGGTCATGGAAAAAAAATATACGTATCAGTAAGTTTTTTCAAATTGTGCGAAAATAAAAAAATTTACAGTTTTAGTTACCACAACCGTTATGCTACGACCTTTACACTCCGCAACCGCAACCGTGCCATCGCCACCGTTACGACGACCACAACCACTTTTCAGAACCTTAGTAACAGGGCATGGTATGTGTGGAGTAACATTTTGCAATATTGGATTTGTGTTGGCTTAGTCTCTGCAATCTTTAGGGGTTGGTGGCTTAATGTTTTGAACTAAAACAAAAGGGTTTGAGAAGATAATTTGAGAATTATTGTTCTAGTAAGTTTTATGGAGCCTATGGTTATCAAAGAATGAAGTAGTTTTTTAACAAGCAGGTGATCCCTTGGATTGATTTACTGGAGATAATAGTGTCAATGTGTTTTAGGTGTTTTTTCTCACTTCTCTCTCAGTTTGTGGATTGCATTGTCTATTATTATTAATAAACTACTCTTTTTTATGTTTAAAAAAAATGTATAAATTTATGAAGGAATAAGATAATGAAATTGCTTAGTTGAGTTGGCTGGTTGTGTGAGATGTTTGTATTCTCTCTACCTCACTGTGGGTGTGGTGATGGCAGTGGGAATGTGGCTTCCTTGCCAAAACGGAACACTTGGTTTGCCCAAAAAAAATAAGGGTAAATTACATTGACTTCTTGAAATTTGATCCAATTACATTCCACTCTTTGACGTTCTGGAAATTATGTTCTCACTCCTGTGATTAATAATCTCATTTCACAAACCCCCTTACTTATATAAAATACAACAGCTCTTAGTAGAAAAACAGAGAAAATTACATTGAAAAAAAAGTAAATCGAAGGAAAAGAGGAAAAAAAAAATAGAGGAAGTAAAGTAAAACATGAAAAGAGAGTGTATGAGTTCAATGTCTTTATTCCATCTAAATAATTACAATGACAGGAGGGTCAATGTAATTTTCCAAATATCAAAGAGTGATATGTATTAAACTGAAATCTCAGAAGGCGTAAATGTAATTTATCCAAAAAAATAAATTTGGAAGAGATAAAACGGTGCCCTTTTTAGGCATTGCAAGGCACGGTAGGAAATAATTACAGCAGTAGCCTAGCATTCAAGAAGCATGACTTTTTATTGGTGAATTGGAGAAATTTTTGGATTAAGTAATACAGTCAAATGGTATTTTTTATTAATTACAAATAGATATGTCTTTTACTTTCATTTAAATACTTAATATAAATATAATATAATGAATTCTACTGTCAAATTCAATTCCCATAAAAAAGGATACCATGTGATATCTATCTTATTGACAGCAAGAAATTCCTCCGTTAATCTTAGGACACTACCTATGAGAGAAATGTTCAAATTGGATTGTGGCATTGAGGGGTTAGTTCACTTCAATGGTTTGTCAAAAACATAAAAAGCCCACGAGAAAGGTTCTAATTGGATTGTGGCATTGAGGAGTTAGTTCACTTCAATGGTTTGTCAAAAAAATAAAAAGCCCACGAAAAAGGTTCTAATTGGATTGTGGCATTGAGGTTCACTTCAATGGTTGGTCCAAATTTTTTTTTTTTAAAAAAAATATGGCCACGAGTTGGTGTTTGCTGGGATATGCTTTTAGTTTTGAAATTTGTTCTCAATCCTTATTATTTTAATGTCATTTCTCTTTTCAAATTTATAAAATAAATAAATAAATAAAATTTAACAAGTTTTCCTCGTACGTACGGATTAATATCAATATTGGGATGAGATATACTTTGAAACGGTGGTGCTACATACACTAATTAATGCACATACTAGTGTACCAATTAGTGTTACGCAATTATTATGGACTCTACCTATTATATAAATTACAAATATTCAAAACCTCTAAAATTATACCACATCATCTGTTAGTATAATAGTTAATACATTAATTGGTACACATAACATTATTCATTTTGAAAATATGACAAATCTCAAACGAAAAGTTAAAAAATAACATTAAGCTTGTTTGGTTCCAGTTTTCAGAAAACAATCTTCAGAAAATTTTACTTTTTTATTTTTCGTATTTTAATATTTTCAATGATTTTTTTAATATTTTAAGCATTTTTTAAAAATTTTTAGACACACCTAACATAAATACACTTAAAAAGTATAATATTTGTGAAAAAATATTTAAAAAATACACTAAATATCAAAAAATACAAGAAAAAAAAAATCGAAAATTTAGTACATTTTTCGTATTTTTGTGTATTTATTAATTTTTATAAATATTTTTTTCACAAATATTTTACAATTTAGATACATTTAAGTAAGGTACATATAAAAAAGTAAAAAAATTACTTAAAATTTAAAAAATATTAACTAAAAACTATAACATACAAAAAAAAAAAAAAACTCAATTTTCAAAAAACTGAAATGAAACCAAACACACTGATTATTACCTCACTTAATCTACTAATAAATCTCTCACCCAACATCATTTTAAACTATTCATTGATTGATAACACTATATGATTATCACGACTATGCCCAATAATCACATAAACTATAATTGCTAATAAAATTCATTATTGAAGCTACTGAAACAGGTTCACGATTCATACTGCATAGTACAATAAGACAAATCCAACAAACATTCACGCAAAGAAATTAGCTAATACATAACCAACCTGAACCCATATTATTTACTAAGTGGCAATGTGGCTTCAATTTTTATGAGGGTGGAGGCGAATTGGGAGGCCACCTTCAGGAAATGGTACTGGTTTGAATATTATTTTATCATTTGGGATTAACTTGCTCCATTTGAACCTTATCACCAGATTATGCATAAAAGCAAGCATAACCAATCGGGCATACTCTTTTCCAGGGCACATCCGAGGTCCTCCTCCAAACGGTACAAAAGTAAATGGTAACGGTCCATCTCCTTCAAACCTTGTTGGATCAAATTTATCTGGATTTGGAAAGAATGCTGGATTTTTGTGAGTTGAGTGCACACTCCAACATGTCTGCAACAAAAAGAAAATACAAATAATTCAATGAAATTATTAGAAGGCACATGTCCCAATTATTTGGCTCACAAAACCATTAATTAAAAGACAAATGTTAATAAAATGTCTTACAACATAGATTAATATCAGAATTGGGATGAAGAAAAGTGAAGAAAGATATAAAACTTTTCTAGAATTGATGAAAAGTGTTTTGAAATTGATGAAAAATTTATAGTGTTATTTCTTAGGCCAATTTGCATGCACCAAACAAAGTACTTACAGCCTCTTCCACAACCCTTTCACCAAGCTTGCGCGTGGGAATAATCGAACTTCTGAGCTAGGATTTGTTTCAAGCGGCCAATCTATTACTCGGCCAACCCCCTTGGGGTTCCCTTTTTGTTTTAATCATATTCAAATTTGAATTTTATATGTAATAGTCAAATTTGAGCTTTTATTATCTGATAATAGAAAATAAACTCTCCAATTCAAAATCCAAACTAAAGAGAAGTAGAACTGCTAGTAAAAACATATATACCTTCCATCCTTTTGGAATAGTAAAACCCGCAAAAGTGAAGTCGGTTAAAGCCTCCTTGAAAGCTAGTGGAGCAGGTGGTGCTATCCTCATTGCTTCACATGCTACATTCCAAGTGTACCTCATTTTTTGGATGTCCATCCAATTGAGCGATTGTCCTGGTTCTTTTGATTTTGCTATCTCCATTTGTTCTGGAAATATATCAAAACATTGTAAGAATAGTAGGAGTATTGAAAGAGATGGATTAATTGTAGTATTAATAGATTACCTTTGAAGACTTCATTGTAGAAATGGGGATACTCAGCAAGATACTTAAGGATGAAAGTAATGGTAACAGACGCAGTTTCATAGCCGGCAATGAGTTGGCCTACGATCTTGTCAGCAATTTCCACATCATTCATGAGCTTGCCATCCTCATCTGGTGTGACGATCAAGTGTGACAGCAGGTCTCGAACGATGATCGAGTCTTTGTTGTGTTGTTGTACAGCCATTTTCCTCTCTTTTATTAGCGTCAATAGCTCCTTGCGGATCAGATTCGCGTCCTTAATGGCTCTGTTAAAACTTGTGCCTGGAAAATCTATAGGGACAGACATCATCCCAGCAATCACGTTGCCAAATCGATTGTCAAATTTGGCCACCTACACAGACCAGTCACATATCGTTAATCCACTTTTATAGAACAATGTGTCGGTAATATTTTTCAAAGTATAAACCCTTTTAATGAGCCATTTCTTCAAATGTGTTTATTTTTCACATATAGCTTCCCCAAAAAATGACAACTACTCAGATAAATGTTATGAAAAACATTAAGAAGTAAAATCAATCACTACAAAAAATTAAGATTTTAGATACCAAAATTTAGGGATAAAATTATTTTTTAGGGACTAAATATTTTTAATGGAAAAAGTGTCGTCATTATATTTTTAGCAACGAAAATTGAACATTAGTGATGAATTATTATCAGATTGGGACCAAATTTTTTGTCTAAAAAAATAAACTATTTTGAGATCAAATTTTTTTGTTCCCTATTTATTAGTGACATTTTCAAAATTTTATCCCTAAAAACCTTGTTTTTGACTTTTCGGGACAACTTTTTAGCGACTATTCTCACGACGATAAAAATTGGTCCTTAAATGTCTTTTGTAATAAAATTTTCATTTTTAGAAATTAAAAAATTTGATCTCTAAAACTCTTATATGTTGTAATGAATATATCATTTATCATCCATATCATTTGTTAATAGTTATCTCAATTATTTTATATAATTTATTACGAGAAATTACAAATCCGGCTTACCTATCAAATCAATAAAATTGATGGTATTTTTCTATATTGAGATAATAATATAAAGAACAATATTGTTTTTGATTTGATGGCCAACAATGAAATATGATATTAGAGTTGATAATCAAATTTGTATTTGAATCTCATGGCCTCCGTATAATTAAAAGGGTTACTTACACACCAGTGGCAAGTTAAGAAAATAAAATAAAATAAAACTTACATATTCATTAAAAAGTTTACTAATATTTATTAAATTTTTCAATGATTTATAATTATTTTTTCAAAAATCATTTCTTCTAATAAAAATTACTTAGACGTGTTTAGCTCACTTATAAAGAAAAGTCCAGCAAAAGCCAATCTTTGGAGTGTGAATACATGGCGTGAACAAAATATATTCCTTCATTGCTTAAATCAATGAAGTGGTTCTACAAAAATTGTGAAATTGAACAATAGAAAAGTATGTTTTATTCATACATTATGAACAAATTCATACTCCTGAACTTTATTAGCCTTGCTAATTGTTAGATAAAGATAAACTCAAAATTATTTTCGGAAATAACTATTTTAATTAGATTTTTTGATTTTTTAAGAAAAAATGTATAGAAAAATACATGTGAGGTTGTTTGGGTGTCCTAAATAAATGCATTTTTTGACTTTTTAGATTAAAAAGTAGCGAAAAAAAAGATAATTGTTTGGAATAACTTTGTCTTTTTACAAAAAAAATATGTATTTAAATATTGTATAAAATAACAAAATTACGTTTTTATCTCTACATATATAAATATGTATTGACAACGATGGTACATGAAGACAGTACGGTGGCAACAAGAGATATAAGAAAAACTTGCCTACGATGCTGTTTACACAGAACGGTGTTGTTTGGCCCATGGAGACCCACCACGGGTCCCGTTGTGATAATCAGAACCGATCAATGTGTAGAAATCATCAAGTATTATATAATTGTGAAAAATAACGTTGATCGGATATCGATAGCTATCTGATCGGATTAGTTTTTTGTCAACTGTTACTTTGTGCACCGTCTGTTTTTTATATAAAATTGATTTGATCATATAGTTATTGATATTCGATCAACGCGATCTTTCACAAAAAAATAGTACTCGACGAGTTCTACACATTTAACAATTTAGATTATCATAAAAAACCTATAACAGGCCCCTACGGGCCGAATAACACCGTGCTATGTAATTTTTGTGTGCACCTCCTTTTCAAGCTCACCATCACTTCATACCACTGTGTTGATTTGATCATATAGTTATTGATATTCGATCAATGCGATCTTTCATAAGAAAATAATACTTGACGAGTTCTACACATTTAACAGTTTAGATTATCATAAAAAACCTATAACAGGCCCCTACGGGCCGAATAACACCGTGCTATGTAATTTTTGTGTGCACCTCCTTTTCAAGCTCACCATCACTTCATACCACTGTGTCACGTGGCCATGATGTTGGTTTGCACCTTTTTTGGGAAATATATATATATATACATATTTTAAATAATGATCACTTTTTGACTTTTATAATAACTTTTTAACTTTTTTTCAAGCACCCCAATCTACCCTAAGAATAATTAACTTTTTTTTGTAATAAGTTTTTGATTTTTTAACTTAAAAAAAGGTTAGTTTTCAAACTTGCCTTCAGTTATTAGTTCAACTCTGATATTAGCTAGTTAACCACCGCCAAATCAAACTCTTAATCTTACCTGTTTAGAGTCTGTAACATTCAGTAGAAGTTGACAAGCCAACTCAAAAGTAAACTTCTTAGCCATATCAATAACCACCACTTTATCCCCCTTTGGAGCCCATTCATTCTCTATATGCTGCTTCGCCACAGCATCCATAACCGGTATGTGCTTCTGAATCGCTTCCAGCTTCAAAAACCCGGAAACCAAGTTCCGGACTCTCTTTGATTCCTCGACTTGCAAGGATGCAGACGAGGTAGCAAGAGAGTTCAGAGGAGAAGTACCCTCCGACAAGAATATTTTGTTGAAAGACTTTGGCCACCAAGCCCCGACTAGCTTATTCTCGTTGGCAAACAAGAACTTGTGCGCTTTTGGGCCACAAAAGAAGGTCATTTTACTGTCACCAAACAGGGAGGTTCTGAATATGTCCGGGCAGTGTCGTTCCATTCTGTCGTGTAGAAATTTTTCGGGGCGACCCTTTCGGCCTATCAGGAGGAGATCTAGAGTTTCTCCTATAATAGGCCATCCTGTTTTGCCTGGTGGAAGATTTGCACTTTCACTTGAAGATTTGGTGGTGAAGAAGAGGAATAGAATGGTGATTATGATGACACAAAGCGATGTGTAGAGTAATGTGGGAGACAATGCAGAAAGGACAGGGAGATCCATAATTGGCAAGTGGTGGGGGGTAAGGAATGAGCGAAAAATGTACATTGCCGGGGACGTATTTATAGAGTAGAGGAGGGGTTCGGTTTTGCTGCTATAAATTCCATCCGGTCCTGCAAGATGCTATTTGGGTTCATAGGGCTTACTATGAATCTTATTTTGAAATTATTTATTTTATTAAATATTTTGTGTATGTCCATTTTATTAGATATTTTATCTATTTCATTTAAAAATAAATAAATAAATAAAGTCAATCAGATTATCGTAATCTCTTTAATTTATTTGTTATTAAAAAATAAATGTTTATTTTTAAAAACATAATTATTTAATGTGATAAATTAAATAAATTATAATTATTGACACGACCTAATTTTATTTAATTTTTAATAAAATATATTAAGTGCCTAACAAAATAAATATTTTAAATAACTAAACCGGAACTCAAAGTAGATCCCTCGAATCGAAATAGTAGTACCTACGAGCAGAAGGGAATCCTCCTCTAAAAAAAAATTGAACCCAATATTAAAACAAAATTAAATAATATTAAATCTAAAGGAATATTAAATCTTTCAAGTTTTTTTTTTGGAGGCAAATTATCGTCCTTATAGTTTAGAATTTGTATTACTTTCGTCGCTAATTTTTCAACTATGATATATTTGACATTAAATTTTGAATCTCGTTTTAAATAAGGACAATTGAAAATAGCATTGCTCAATTTTAATGACAAAGTTATTAATTTGATAAAATTAAATTAATTTGTCAAAAATAAATGTTAAAAATTTATTTTTAAATTTTTAAAAATTATATTACCGCCAAAGATAAAATCATATAAAAATGATAAATTTTTTACATTTTTTTACCAAATTAATTTTTAATATGTGTTTGGATGATAATCATGTAATTAGTAGTTGTTTTTGTTGATAATTTTGGATGGTTAACATGTAATATATGGTTGTATTTGTTGTTAATAGATTTTTTTTTTAATGATTATCATGTAATGAATGGTTAATATATGAAATATTTTTAGTTTTGATTTTTTATAAGGACATCAAAATTATCGTCATATTTGATTTTTGAAAAAATTGAAACTAATTTAACGAAAATAAATGTCAAAAGGAATTATTTAAAAAAATTCTTTCTACCCTCCCAAAAGATAAAATTATATAAATATGATGTGTTTTTAATTTTTTTTTCACCAATTAAATTTTTAGTTTCGTAGAAAAAATTTCTGAAAATAGATTCTAAAAATTAAACTAAACAAAATTTTGTAGTTAAGAAAGTTTCAGTATTATTCATTAAAAAAAGACCATTCTATTTCAAACAACATATAAGTTAACAAACACAAAATAAATTATATAACAACTTTACCTTTAGAATGGACCGTTTGCAAATGAAAGATTTTCAATTGTTCTTATTTAAAAAAAAATTTAAAATTTAATATCAAATATATTCTGATTAAAATTTTAGAATTAAACTGACACAAATTCTAAACTACAACGGCGTTAGTGTAATTCACTTTTTTTTTTTTTTTTTTTAAAGGTAGAGCGCTTTCAAGGTTTCAAGCTTACTCTTCCGTTTCATTTTTAAATAAATGTGTCTCTGTCTTGCTTTCGTATCTCATTTTGCTAGTACTGTTTTTTTTTTTCTTGAATTTTGGGTCTTCTTTTTGACACCAGCTACATGTACAAATAACGGATCGAGACCTGTCAAGATATCGAGTAGTTAAAATATTTTTTTTTTAAAAAAAACACATAATGTTGACTTTTCTATTACTCCCTCCGTCTCAAAATATTGATTCTTTTTGAGGAATTCAACTTTTTTTAACAGTACACTTATTACATTTGAAAAAAGTTAATTTTCCAAAATTACCCTTTTGATAGTACATTTTTTGGAAATATTAATGTCATAATTGTACTTTTTAAATTGTTTATTAATTTAAAAGAAGGGTAAAATAAGAAATTTATATTATTTTTGTACTTGATTTATAAAGAGGGACTAATATTTTGGGACAATGAAAAATGGAATAAGGGACTAATATTTTGGGACGGAGGGAGTACTATTTTCCTTCTCTCTTTTTTTTATACACATAATTTTTCATTTTTAATATTAATTTAATTACATTTAATTAATTTTTTATTATAATTTTTAACTTTAAAACTAATTTTAATTTATTTACATTTTAGATCATAATTAATTTTAACTTTTTATTATTTATTTTAATTCTTAATATCTTAATTTAATTATATTTTAAATTAATGATAATTTTTTTTAGCGACGTTAACTTTTTTCATGACAATGACTTAACCAGATAGGTTTATTTATCTATTAACTATTTGTGCATTATCTGTGCTATCTGTAAATTATTTGTTACTTATTTACGCATTATTAATTTATTGCTTATATGTACATTATCTGTATTGTACGTGAATTATCTATTGCCTATTTGTGCTATCTGTGCATTATTTACTGCCTATTTGTATGTCTTATTTGTGAACTATTTGTATACTTTTAAAACTTTTTGAATTAAAAAAAGGAAAATATTTGGGACCCCCTTTGGGGATGACTCCACACTCCCAAACTGATCCTGACCCTCTCATGTATGTGTAAGATCTACATCATGAGTGGTTTAGATTTGTAGGGGTCTTATGAGAATCTTGTAGGGGTGGGAATCTCAATCATTACTCTTAAAAAAATGAGACACACACGGTTATGTATTTTACAAATTAAAAAATGAATATTGATATTTATAGAGTGTTAAAATTTGGGGAAATATTCAATGAGTAGAATTTTAAAAACATAATACAAATCCATGACAAATTTTATAAATATTAATCATGAAAATCTTAATTTTCTTTTATAAATATAAAATTAATTTTTGAAAGTTTCACCAAGTGTAATTGACCCTTAAAATTTTAATAGATCATAACTTTACAGTCTTTTGTAATGACCTAGAAATTTAATTAGTCTTTAAATTTCGTATTAATATTATTTAATCACAATTGAAACATGTAGAATTTATTATATAATTTTATATGTGATTTTACAGCTGGGATCAAAATATATGATTTTGTAAAAGAGTATAAATAGTGATGTAATTATTATAAATTATGGGGCCAAATTGTAATTAATAAAATGGAGTTTTTGTTTTTTGAACAGGATAATAAAATGGAGTTTGCCACCTTCAAATTGTGCAAGACATCTGGCGCCAGATGTCTGCGTGCATGCTTTGTTTGTAGTTTATATGTCTATGTCTATATCTATATATATATATATATATATAAAGAATTGCTTTGCTCATAAGGCTCGTCTTTGTTTTCCCATTTTCCCCTTCAACTTGTGTTCTTAGTTTCTATTTTGCCCTTCAATTAGTAGGTAGAATTAATTGGATGGAGGGATTTTGAAAATTATGCAAAGAAACCGAACCAAACTAAACCGAGCTTTAAGTCTCATTAAATGGGGTCAAGTATATGAATTCTTCTTTTTCATGCGGCCATATCAAAGGCCATTTCGTCAGTCAAATTAAGTAAATTCATATATCTATTTACAACGCTAACCAACGTTAATCTAGGCCTACTCCGTCCCTTAACACTTCCATCTACTGTTACAACATCGCATTTCTTCACTACTGTCTCTGTTGGTCTTCGTTGAATATGACCAAACCATCTCAATCGATTCTCTCTCAGCTTATCTTTTATTGGTGCTACTCCTACCCATTCTCAAATGCACTCATTCCTAATTTTGTCTTGTCCAGTCTTGCCACACATTCACCTTAACATTCTCATCTCAGTCATACTCATCTTATTTACATGTTGTTTCTTGATTGCGTAACACTCCGTCCGATACAACATCGCTAGTCTAATTATGCAAGGAATTTGGCTTAATTTTGGTTTGACTTAGTAATTAGAGACCATCAAATAAAAAAAATACATAAATAAATAACTAACTATAATTAAGAGTTGGGATTTTTTATTGCCATTTTTTTAAAAAAGTAATTTTAGAGTAACTGTTTATATAGTTGTTACACTCTTAACTTTTGAATATTATATCTTCAACATTTATAGAATAAATATCAATCATCTAAAAGAAAACTACAAAACTACTTTAGATAACTAAAGTCGTAATAATGACACATGTTATTAACTCCGCTCCCCCCCAAAAAAATAAATTTGACCTTTATAAAAAAAATTTTATTTTTAAATTTTGTCAATTAAAATTCTATATCAATATGTAACAATTTAAAAGTTAACACCTACTATATCACATAATTGTGGATCGAATTGTGCGAGTATTTTTTCATCTCAAACATTTTCCAATAATGTGATAAGAGAGTTTGGTCTCATATCATTGTGTATATAATTACAACTTGACACCTATCATGCCATAACAAATTGCAAGTACATATTTATTGTATCATATTATTATGGGCTAAATTGTGAACATTTTTTTGAGAGTATTAAAAATTTTCCTTATCCATTACAATTTACAGAAATTGTTCCTTATTTCTTTCCCAAAACAAACATTCATATCAAATTAAATAACGTTGCATATTATACTATTTTAATACTAAATTGAATAATATTTTAGTTAGCATGTTATTATAAAATTTTTTGTTACAGGATTAATTTAAATCACCACGTAGATAATGTCATATAATATTTTGTATTACCAAATAATTAGCTATAATTGTAAACAAGTAAAACATATTACATATGATATAAGAAGATGTTAAATATATTTAATGTACGTATAAATGTACATTAAATAAATATATATAGAGAATTTGCTTATATGAATTTGGAAAGTTTTATGAATGATATGTTCGACGAATCCTAAAATATAAACGATTCAATTTATTTAATCTACTATTCCATTCACTTTAGGAAAGAATTTTTTTTTTTAGCATAATAATTTCAAATAATATTTAATTATTTGAAATGAAGCCTAAATGCCATTAAATTGGAACGGAATTATGCTTTTTTAACCTCTACCAAATAATAACTCCATTATATTTTGCTTCCATTAAAACAAACAGTATCTAAAGGTTA